GGAAGACCTAAGTTGACATATGGCCTCAGAGGCTTAGTAGCTGTGTGACCGTGGGCAAATCACTTAATCCTCTTTGCCTCAGTTTCCTCATCAGTAAAGTGAGCTGGAGAAGGAAATGGCAAACCACTCCAGTATCTCTGCTAAGATAACTCCTAATGGGGTCGCAAAGAATTAGACATGACAGAAAAATATCTCAACTCCTTTAATACCTAAAAACTGCTGTTTGCTCTTTACAAGGACCAATTACTTTTCCTATCTTTGTTTTCTTTACCATCATTTTTACTCCTTTGTGCAACTTGCCAAGGATTGTGAGATTTAAATGTGGCATCTAGAGGTAGTGCTTCTGTCACTGATAGAAAAAACTATGCTATATAAATCTTGAGATACCTATTGTATTTTTAATGTCATCACATTTCCAGTTTCTTCTTTAAGTTCTCTCAAGATAATCTGGTTTAAAAGGATTTCCTTGCAAGCTTTCTGTAAACTCAATTTTTTTCCTCCACCACTTTTTTTCCCACATGAAATGATGACACTGATCATCATCTTCTACTATCCATATTCAAAATTGGCTTTATCCTTGACTGCCCTACCTCTCCACTTGGCAAGGATGATGCTCACTGAAGGAGCTTCTAGGGTCATTAGGCTTACTCACAGTGCTGAACTATTTGGCATTAATAAGCCTTCTATAGAAAATGGTGACAGTTTATGTCAATATCTGTTTCTTTGTCCATTTTCCATTTTTTGGCATTGATTGTATAGATTTTTCAAGGAGGAATATAAATCCTGATCGTAGAGGAAGAGCAGGAAGAGACCTCAGAGGTCATATAGTCCAACCTATCCTTCCCCCCGCCCCAGCCCAATCTTAAGAAATAAAACAAGCATTTCCATAACATAGTAGAACAGGAAAAAAAAAAGATAATTGTATATGAAACTGCAAAACCTTTTAATATATGAGGAAGCTGAAGGGGGGAGATTAAATGACTTCCCCAAGGTCACATAGTCAGCAAATGTCAGAGATGAGATTTGAATCCCAGTCTTCTGATTCTATGACTTCCACTTGGAAAGGTCCCCTAACATCTCACATAGAGATACCCTAGGAGAGAGGAGTATACTCAGAAGCTGATTTGGGGTACAGAATATGGAATCCTTTTGAGGACATGACTGACACCTCAGGCAGCTCGTCAGCCTGGTCAAGTACACTGTTGTC